GCTCCCTTTTTGTTTACCTGTTAAATCTTATAAAAATACTTCCCTCTAATTGCAATAAAAAAAAAGTAATACCATGCTGATAACAATTTCTGGATTCTTTTAATCCCTGAAAATGATTTCTCCTCCATCTTTCAGCCTCACTAATCAAAATGCTTAGGGAACAGTAATTCTGAAACACGGGGAAATAACGAAGAGTGCTTAAATTGCGTGGTCTGCTCATCTTCTTCCACTGCATGTCAGAACAAACCTTAGGTGTCTGCAAGGACAAAAGCATACTGGGATGCTAAGAGAAGACATCCATCCATGCTGCTACAAAAATACATACAGCACACACACCTTACTGGTGAGCTGTGGCCATAGAACATAACTTTGCTACTAGAATGACTGTTAGAAAAGGAAGACTAACTGGTAGTCTTCATCTTTCAAAAAATCTATTTAACCTAATGAATGAACAGGTTTATATACAATCAACTAGACTGAAACAAACTTTATAGCCAGATCATAGCAAATTGCATGGTGAAATAGGAGGCACATCAAATACCAAGCCATCTAAATGGCAGTATTACATGAACAGCATGAAATACTCAGCTAAGAGAGAACGATAGCTGTACCCATACCTGGAAAGGCTTTGAAGTTATGGATATCTGAACTGAAGTGAGAGAACTGCATGGTTCTTGATGGGGAAAAAATTACTTAGAAAGCAAAAGAATGTAAGCATTGTCTGTGGTACAGGCAAAAAAAAAAACAAAAAACCAAAAATAACAAACTTGGCTAAACAGACAGAACCAATCAGTGAAGCTTAGACAATGTTCTTGGAGGAAAAAAAAATGAAACAACAATAGCAAGACAACTCACAAACATGTAAACCCCATCATTTTATGTGCAAACTACTGCGAGCATACATACAGTGAGACACTGCATTTAGAGACAATAAACAAATTCTGTTATGCAACCCTATCTTTTGCCTATGCAAAATATATTTTTAAAAAATATGTATATATATAGCATATATTGACACTCCTACTTACAAAATGGGTGGGGGGGAGGATGGTGTTGTTTTGTTTTTAAAGGAATAAGTTTGCTATCATGACTTTCCTAGAGGTTAAAAAACTTTATCTGGGGAAGGGAGAGAAGAAAAGTAATCACTTCTGATAACGTGCAAAACCTTTACAGGTGAAAGTCTCTCTTTGCAACCTTTCTATCTTCCTCAAAATTCTATAGCCCAAATCACAAGTTTTCTTTAGCAATGGCCAACCACTCCTGAGGCTCACTTCACTGAAATAAATAGAAGTTTAGCTATTGAACTGAAAGCAGCCTAAAGGAACATGCGGGACCATACCATATCAGCTGCTAGTCTTCCCACTCACCAAATCTGACCCCTTCTGTACCGACACATTTCAGTCCTACGTGACCTTGCTTCAGGAGCAGGATCTCTGAAGACCCCTTAGAGAATGAGACATCACAGCACTTGATTGCAAGTGTCAGGGCTTGACCCTTACAAGATAGAAAGGCTTGATTCACTGAAAACATGAAAGCATGTGCCTAGTTTGTGTTGAAGTCTATGAATCCTACAAATGCACTTGAACATTTTTCAGAATAAGTGAGTCTAAACCTTCTCTTAGTTAAGAATTTCTTACAACTCTACTGAATCGAGAATATCCCTGTGCCTTCCAAAAGCTTTACTCCTTCCACAGCAGTATAATTCTTGACTTGGTATTCAGCACTGTGGCTGACTGTGCCTAAAAAAAAACAACCCAACTGATTATGGTACTGCAGATTACGGTACTGAATCTTTAAAGAAAGATTCAGGCATACGAAGTAATTAGCTACACACCTACGTTTTTGTTCATCTCTTACAGTTTGGAAGCATTCATTTAAAATAATAAATCTGGGAAACATAGGAAAAAATCAAAATATTAAGTTAAAAATAAACTTAGCCACTCAATCTTCCCCCAGTCCCCTGTGCAGAAGACTAACTGCCAGCAGTGACTGTTGCACTCCTGTTAGAGCTGAGGTAATTTAAGAGGAATGTCAGTATGCATTTACATTTCAAACTTTATTACTCTGCTTTAAGAGAAAGAATGCCTGCTATTGTCATACAAAAATATTTACAAAATCTTTGGTATCTGGTTTTAGTCCTACAAAATTAATATCAAAACTCTCAGCATCTCTACACACTGTGCATCTTTTAGAAGAACATGAACTATCGGAAAACACATTCAGAGAAAACATTTTTAAAAAACTGAAAAGCCTAACAGTTTCTCATTCTAGAGGAAGTTCAAGGCTGTTGTTGCATTACAAGGAGCTACACACGGTCAGCTTTGCAAACTATGAGGACTCGTGAATCTGGCTGCCTCTCCAGCATTCAAGCCATTCCAACCCAGTTTCCTTTGAACGTGCATTTCCTACCATGGAGAGCCACAAGTGGATGGACATCTCAAGCTAATGAGATCTACATCGGTTGCATAACTTTAATCCTAAATCAGAGACTACGTTCTCACCCTCTTGCCTGCAGATTGAATTTCCCTCTCTTCCTCTGGTATAAGACAAAGTAATCTTTTTTCCAAATAATCTTTACTCCTCTTTAAAGAGCAGAATGGTGGAAACTTCCTTGGTGGCCATCTGGCAGCTGCCTTTTTCTCATAGCACTGCAATCTTTCAAAAAACTACCTGCGTACCAAAAAAGGCTTTCCAAAGCCACCTCAAACAGACATACATTGTATTATTTAATAAACTCAGGTAAGAAATGCAGAACCTGTGCAGAATAAAGCATTAAAAAATCGAATTATGTAGTAAAGAGGTAATTTCTTCTTTGGCTTCACAGATAGCAGACAACAACAACAAAAAACAAGAGACTTTCCATGATTCTTTTCCTATGAAACGAATGCATTTCAAAACACAGTAGTCCAAATTCGTAGCAGAAGCATTAAGGAAGAAAATAAAAAGCTCATCACATCCACTCTAGAAGCTATTCCACAAACTGATTTGTTCCAATAAAGGAACAATGATTTACTTGCTGTCCCCTCCTGCTTGCCCTAATGCCTGCAGTCAGGAAGGCACAATACCAGGCAGTGGTGCCATTCAGCCCTTGTTCTCCCTGATAAGGCTCCCAGGATGTTGCCATTTTGATGTCAACACCTGTCCACAGGTAACAAGCATGAGAGCATCAACCCATTTTAAGATGCTCAAAAATGAGGCTATCACAAGGCAATATCTTCCAATCACTGCAAAACTTTCTTTCAAACAGAAACAGTGACCCAGAGGTGAGAAGCCCAGTATCACATTTCTAATCCCCATAACAGTTAGTCTTCACACACACAAGAAAATGCCCACAACTACCTATACAAACATTTCCCTTGTCTTATAAATCTTACCCCTTGAGAATGTTTCTCAGATCACTTAATTCTGACTTCCACTTAAGTGACTATTTTTACAATGCACGTGAGGAATATTCTGCTGCTGACAATCTACTTGATGAAACATCTTCAGAAGAAAGGTCAGGTAAAAATTGGTATGATGTGGAGCTCTAGTGGTAGCGGGCTAGCAACGCACCACATAACAACTGTGAAACAGGAGGTACTGACCTTAGGTCTGAAAGCAGTAAGTGAGAACATAACAAATGAATTCAAACGAGGAGAACGAAGAGCGAGAATGTTTGGAATCAAATTAAGCAGCATTTCAAGCTCATAGAATACATCTGTGCATACAACATGATGAGCAATTCCATTTTCAACACATAAGCTTCAACCTTGTGATGATGACTGCAGTTAAGCAACAGAAAAATAAAATCAACACCGTACTTGAAAGAAAATATGTATGTAGTGCAACACTAAATCAATGCCTTTTATCACAACTAGCTGAGAGTGGAGTAATTCTATGCACTCTTTTGTAACAGTCATACATATTATTCTGCTTGTGCCAGCCATGGTAGCTCCTACACCACTGATGAAAAACACTCTGCTCCCAGTTGCAACATCAGCAAGATGCTGCAACAGCATGGCAGTCGGTTTTAACATTGTAATTCAGTAGCCCTCTCAGACCAATGAGTTCGGCTGAAATTGAACCCTTAAGAGCACCTTACTCATATGCGCACAGTGCCATCACACACCCTATTGGCAAACGTTATCCTCAGCTTAATGCTTGCTAAGCATCAATATTCCACTCATAAAGGACATGTCTTTTTCCGCACTCAGGGTGGTAGAACATGCAAAACATACTGTGCCCACGGTGTTTCACTGCACCGAGGATGCCAGTGTTCTTACAGCTATCACCTTGTGACATATCAGCGTTGTTCTCCTAACTTTTAAGATGCCATTTGCACTGGGATACGTACCAGCAGATGTTTATAAAGCAAGGACAAGAGCGACAGTTTTCAGACAGTCAGAAAGCAGCACCAAAACCAGACAGCACCGTACTGTGTGCACACAGACAACCAATCCCAGTATTAGGAGGCCCCATTTCCAAATCTGAGCAACACCACCAGTTGCATAAAGAAACTCCATACCGAATCCTCACTGCGAAACTTGCAATCCCTTCCTAGGGAAACCACTTCCATCCCCCACTACAGAAAAACAAGGCATTACTGAAAAGCTCTTGTGTGTTCATACTGCTGACTTGCAACGGATTCCTCACTTATTTTAATCCATGCTATAAATTTTCACTAGGAATTTTTGTTCTGCTTCCTGAACTGAGCGCAGAACGCCTTGATTCAGTACCACTCCACTTAAGATCGAATGAATTCCTCCTTGCTAGCATAGACCATTAACTTCACAAGTGTTATCATTTGGCATCTGCCAGCCTAACAGCGGTCTTTTAATCAGCGTATATTCCAACCCAGCGCCACAGGGGAAACGCGATACGACTCCGGGCTCTACACCTTTGCCACCCACTTGATGCGACTGAAGAAGGTTGCTCTAATTTATGCCCGTTTGACGCACACGGGACGCAGAATTAACCCCAGAACGCAGAGCTCCGGGAGGAGGGACGCCGAGCCGCGTTACCTGGCGGGCAGCTGCACTCTGCGGGCGCTTCTCTCGCCGCTCGGATTTTTGCCAAGTGCTCGTAGGACTTCTGTGGGGGAGAGGAGCAACGTGAGGGCACTCGGCCTGCCACAACCCCGCGGCACAGCCCCGCGCGCCCCGCTTTACAGCTGTCTCACCGAGCGCGGAACTGGCGACGGCTTCTCCTCTTGGACGTGACCCAGCCCGGAGGGCTGACTTCTCCACCCCCACCGAAACGAGCCCACCGCCAACGGCTTTCTCTCACCTTTACCACCCCTCACGCCCTAGAACTTCATTTATTTTCGATTGCAAGCCCGCTCCTCGGCACCGGCCAGAAACGCGGGGACGCGCGGAGGAAACCCTCCGCTCTCTGTGCGCGATGCCCTTCATTCCCGCGCCCCGATGGCCGCCTCGCGCTGCCCCACGCGCCCCTCCGTCTCCCCCTCTCCCCACCCGCACGCGGCCGGAGCTGCCCCCCGTCCCGCACACCTGGGCGAGCAGCCGCTCCACTTTCTCCTGCATCATCTCGTTGAGCCGTTCCAGAGAAAAGCCGGGCAGCGGCGGGAGCGGAGCGGCGGCGAAGCCCCCCCGGGCGCCCTCGATGGCCGCCAGCCGGGCCTGGAGGTCGCTGGTCCGTACCCCCAGGTACACGCAGGAGGCGGCCGCCAGCGCGGAGAGCAGAACGGGCAGCGCCGAGCAGCACGGCCCGGCCCGGCGCGGGCAACGCTCCCCGCCGCAGCCATCCCGTCCTGCGGCTCCGCGGCTCTTGCCCAGCATGCTTTTGCACCCTTCGGCTGCGGCAGCTTTTATTTCCTTTCCTCCGCCCCCCATGGAGGCGACTAATTTATAAACAAAAATAATAGCGAGGAACTAGACCGAAACGAGCGACCAAAAGGCGGGTGACGAGGACTAAATAAACAAACGGAGGCGGAGCCCGCGGCCGTCCCCGCACTTCGGCGGCGTAAAGCGGTGCGGGTCGAACCCCGCGGCTGCCGCCCGCCCGGAGCCGCGCTCTGTGCGAGCGCTCCGCCACTTGTCAGAGCTGTGGGGCGGGAGGGAAGCCCCGCTCCGCTCCCTCCCTCCTCGCCGGACTTGTTGCTCCCCCTCCACCTGCCTGCCGGCTCCCGCAGCCGAGCCGGGCGGGGAAGCCCCGAGCTCGGCCCCGCTGTCAGCCGCCGCCCCGCCCTCGTTTGCACGGCGTTCACCTGGGCGGGGGCTCGGCACGAGCTGCTGCCGCCGGCTTTGCCCCCTCCTACAGCTGTTTCTCTCTGCTTGAGGCAGCGGCGGAGCCCGAGGGAACGCGCGGCTCTAAGGGCTGCTCGAAAGGTGGAAAGAGTCCCCGGGTAAAGCCGGACACGGTGACTCCCAGACAGCGCCGAGCGTGCTGGTTTGCACCACAAACTGCAATTCCTCGTGGAGTTCTGTTTGTGCACTTTTATTACCTATTGTTTTCCAAGCCCTCACGCACGGTGACTGCAACTGCTGTGAAAGCACGAATGCAAAAAGCTCGGCGGGGTTCTGCGCAATCACGGAGCCTTTGGGTAAAGCGCAAATTCATCACTACCGCTTTAGACCTCATAATTTGTCTTTCTCCGTGCTAAAAAAAAGAAATGCTTCACGGGCTGCTGTCGGGGAGCAGAAGCCATGACCGCCAGCCTTGGGTGACCATCCCTCATGGCAAACAGTTAATGGTTGTGACGGGCAACGTGCAGACAAACTCCAGCGAGCCGCACGTGCCTTGCCTTCAGGACTCATGGATAACAACCACTGCCTGTAAAGCAGGGATTGCTCACAGCCTATCTGCTGGCAACCAGAGGAAGAAGCGGTATGTGGGACAAAAAATCCCAAACAAGCACACAAGCATGCTCTTATTTGGTGCACAATGCGGGTCGGCTGCGTGCTATGTGCACCGCCTGCCATCCTGCAATGTGGAGGCCATTGGCGCCAGCGAGGCGCTGGGCCCCCTGCTGCACACCCAGCCTGCTGCCTGCTGCCAGCCCTTGGGATGCCATCGCCCTCTGCTTCACGCAGCAGTTCTAAAGCTGTCATATAGTGGCGTGCCAGTGCAGAGACCTGCCTCAGTATGTTGCTCAGCATGGTCACTGCCCAGGCAGCTCCTGGTCCCAGCATTGTGCCACCAGCTTGCTTTCAGCAAGGCATGTTTCACATCAGCAACTAAACGGCCTGAGATGGAAAAGTCCCTGGCTGCATTCAGTTTGCACAATGCTCATCATTGTCAAGATCACAGAACGATCCAGATCCCAGTGTTCCTTAAGGATGTGACACAAGCTCTTTTCTTAGTGGGTAGCAAATCTCATGGCAGGTGTTTCTCATTCTGAAGAATCTTGTTGCACAATCTTCATTTTTCTACCTGGGAAAACTTTTCTGTTTGTCTCTGCTATGTTATGATCAAAGTCAGCCTAAAATCAATTCAGAAGCACCCAAGGAATTGTGCTCGTGCTTTGCGTTGCAGAGGCAGCATTGCATTTTACATCTGGCTGATCTCACCCCTGGGAAGGGACAAAGCTAGCCCAGAATTTGGGATCAGAGCAGCACCAGCAGAACCAGCAGCAGAATGATTGAACTTCATGCAGGAGCTGCTGCTGCAGGTGAAGGACGCAGCTCAGCTGCTTTACCTGCTGCAGAATTCACTTCTGTCTGAACAGCTGCTGTACCCTCCTGAGCTCAGTTGCTTGATACCATCAAGTGGACAACCAGCAGCTTTGCAATGCGCTTACCCATCTAAACACAATAAAAAACACATTAAATCTCAGCCTCGCTGTTCTCGCTGCCTTCTCCCAAGCGGGAGGCAGAGTGAATCCAGGACATGTGCAGGTTCAGTGCCAGTGAGGCTGATCCTTATTTTCCAGCCATGATGATGCCAGTCAAGAAGGCATCTATTTAAAATCATAGCTATGATTGAAAACAGATTTGAGAATGCTATCTGCGTAATGAAAGAACCGGTTTTCTTCTTTTATTTTTCCCCCTAGAAACAACAACAACAACAACAACACTTTTTTATGCCTTTTATCTGTGAAGATTTATTGATTTTGAATCACAGTTAACAACTGGGTCTAGGGAGTCAAACTCCTACTCCAGGAGTTTGGCTGTTCAATTTAACTGCTTGTGGGCAGGCAGTGTGCATCTCAGACATTGCTGATCACAGTTAAGGTGATAAACCACATAAGTCCAGGTTCCAAAACACTTAAAATGCCTAAAATGCCTGGTTTACATCTGGGAGCTGGAGTAAAGCAGCTTGAAATCAGAGTGGTGCCCCAGACGTATGGAGCTGTCTATTAACAGTGCAGGTGGAGTGTCAGAAATTGCAGCTCCACAGCAGCCCAACTCAAACAGTAGCAAAAAAAGGGAGAAGGTTTGAAGTAGGGCCTGCAAAGTGCAGACCTGAGATAGCTGTTCTTCCCACCGGGAGAGGAGGGCTCTTGCTTTGAAGATCCCAATCTGCAAATGCCACGTCCCAGCACATCCACACGTGGCCAGGGCAGAAGCACTGATTAAGCTGCAACTGTTTGCGTTGTGTGGGTCTGTGTTTGAAGATGTGGATGGTGTTTGCAGATAATGATTTTCCACCAGACAGGCTAGTGTCTGGAGTTCTTTCCATATTTTTATGTCTACAGTGGGGCGCATTCTGGCTGACCAATCCACAATCCATAACTGGATTTCTTTACCAGATACAACATCAACTTGCCATTGGACAAAAAGAGAGCCCAGAAAAAGTAAGCACACGTCTGCTGAACTGACAGGTCGTATTCAGCTTATAAAATATTCTGTATAAGTGGTCAGGAATGGCAGAAGGGGTAAGTGCAAGTAGAAGGCGAGATCTGGGACTCGGCACTGGAGCTGAGATGACACACAGGAGGATAACAGATTATCAGTAGTCACACACACTCCGAGACGCAGCTAAAGCCTACTGTTCTGAATGTTCCTGCTTCCAAATTGAGTGTATACATTATTCATTATACATGGACTTGAACTGTATCTTCAGTCGCCTGCTTTCTCCGTTCCTCTCATGCCTGCTCAGTTCACCCTCGGTGCCTCTCATGCTCTAAATGGGATTTCTCTCCACTTTTGTGCACAAGCAGAATTTGGTAATTCTGTGACTTTCCTCTCATCTCAGCTCCCTGGAGTTTTAGACAGTACAGTGTTTCTCACTGACCTGGTCATCCTATCTGCCAAGAAAAATAGTAAACAACTTACTTTCTTGTTTTGGAAAAAAGGAAAAAGATGGAAAAACCTGTCATTTTCAAATACCCAAATAGATTGCTTTCTGTCACTTTAAATTTAATATAAGCACACTGAAGTATAGTATACATGATGCAGTACATTAATATACTTAGCAGATGGATAACACTTGCTTATGATTTAATGCTTAGATATACTCATTTCACATCTACTGTACAGGCACTTCATATATTCGAGTCTGTAAGTCAGACTTATCTTCAGACTAGAAGCAATTGAGTCACATGAGCATAAGATTTAGTTTATTAGTTCCATAACCTTACTGGTATTTTGGCAACCCTGATAAAAAATAATAAAATAAAACAAAAAAACCCTTGCATCTGGATTTTAATATAGTTCACAGGATTTCCTTTTTTTCAACATGATGAAGCCAGCTCTCCTAGACTTACAAACTGACTGATTCGAGACAAGATTCAGACACAGTGTATCATTTTTTACCAAAATTCATGAGCATTTTTGTGTGTGTGTGTGTAAACCTATTACAAAACACTTCATAACAGATAAACTGACTACCTTGCATTTTTCAGAGCCTCAAATATTTGCTTTAAAATGCAGCCGGCGCTTGGGATGTTCTGGCAGGACTTTTGCTGACCGGAGAACCATAATCAGAAGGGGAACAAGAAGACCAGACTTGAGTATCTTGGACAGAAAAAAGGCTTCCTTGATCTGACTCCAGGCCAATTCACATCCTTTGGCTTCTCAGCTTGTTTATTTGTCTGTAAGCAAAGGCCACTGGAATTGATGGGTCTTTGTGAAGGACTGTGGGGATGGGGTTGTGATGAAGACTCTGAGCCTGCAAAGCCCTCTATTAACACATAGCTTTACTAGCACACATAGTCCGATCCTAATCAACAGGGTGAGTCCTGAAAGCAGTTCTGCACATGCGTTTGAGTATTTGGAAGACACATAAATGCCAAGACAAGGGTCAAAATATAGAATCCAACGTAAAAAGCCAAGAATAGGCAGGGACATTTTCTTGTTAGTTGTTAATCACCATTTCTGGTTGCTTTTTTCCCATCTTTTTTATGTGAGGTCATTACTAAATAACTTCTGTATGCAGATGCTGTTACATTTAAGAAGCAACTTTATTTCCTAGTGAAATGATTATGATAAAGAGTGGAATCCTGAGGGATCACAGTGGAAACCAAGTCTGAAAAATGCATTCGTAACTTTGAGGATATTTTCATGCCCAAAAACAAAAGCAAAAATTACCAAAGATATAGAAATGAAGAACAGAGGACATTGGCAATCATAGCTTTATAGCAGTCTCTATAATGCAGATGTCTCACAGCTGAAAATCCTTATCGGGATGCCTGGTACCCTCAGTTATCTTTGGCTCCCCTGATGCTGGTAGTGATCCCACAGTCCTCCTGAGGTCTCTATTTGTTTCCAGGATTGAAAACAGCAACGGTGAGTTCTGAAGATTTGTCCTTTCCAAGTAATGGTTGAAACTCCCAGCATTACAAAATTTTGAACAGATCAAAGTCAGGTTCAGCAGAAATCCCTGTTTTAGTACTTCTCGTTCTTTTCTAATCCCCCATTTGACTACTTTTATCAA